TTGACGGCTGTACTCGCAACTAGTATCGGATTGTCGATGCCACAGTAGAGATCAAAGGACTGTACGCACGCGCTATGTTCGAGAGCGGAAATGTGCGTCCTCTCGCGTGGGACATTAAGGCTATGTTCAGACACAACGACTTACGCTAGCGTAACGTTAATCGAGTGGTGTGAACTTGTGCGCGGAAACCTAGCTGTAAACAGAAAATAAAATGCGCGAATTACGAATACGAATATTTCGCGCGAATACTTACGCTAGCGTTCATTAATCGCCCAGTCTGGACATCTCGCTAGTTACGCCATGGATTAACGCACGCCCGGCGTTAGATACGCCTGGCGTATCTCACAGGTCTGAACGTAGCCATAGTTATAACTCTGGCATGAAATTCTAGGCGCACGTGCGTCCCTACACGCTGAACGTCACAAAAACCATAGCAACCAGACCATAAACCGTCAGCGTACCTGACGAATGGACCTTTCCGCTAAGCCCCGCCCCTTGGATATTGTTGCTATGGTCCTACAAGACGACAGTGTTAAAACATACGCGAACACGTGCGTTTGTGGGACAACACGTGTGTTTGTGAGACGTGTGCGTATTCCTAGCGCTGTTCTGATTAGTTAGTTGATAAGTTTGATTGACACTCCGGAAAGGTCTATTACCCACGCGCGTGTTAGTTGCCATGATAATCGCACGTCGTGCGGTGATAACAAAGGCCTAATGGTATTTTGCACTGACAACATTAGACTGAAATTATATTCTTCATTTCAACATTAATTTTACCGATATTGCGGTGTATTGTCGTTCATGAGACTCACTTCGCAGAAAAAATTAATAAATGTTCTGTATCTACTCAAATATATGTTTTGTGCACCTTAGTCCAACATTGTCAAAATGACAGGTTAATGTTACATAGAACATGAAATTTTATAAAATTTGTAAATTTTCAATTGCTATAACTTTTCATTTCTTGGTCAATTTTTACAAATCAAATTGCATTTTATAGAAGCATTTTACAAGCTCGCGGTGAAAATAAATCAGATTGAACATACATTGCGAAGTACCCAAAATTAATAAAAATAGTAACTAACACCATAAATCGTATGCCACTCATAGACTAATAATTGACGGCTGTACTCGCAACTGGTATCGGATTGTCGATGCCACAGTAAAGATCGAAGGACTGTACGCACGGGCTTTGTTCGAGAGCGGAGATTTGCGTCCTTCTGTTGAATTACCTTGTTCATAATATTCATAAAATCCAAAATGATTTCTTGCTTTCCCTCCCATATGAATCACTTTAAATAAATAATAATAAACATACTATGGTTGGTATAATTTATCGCCCAGCTGAAGGAAATATCAAACACTTCGTTGAAGAAATTAATTTGATCTTACAAAATTAACTCTGAAAATATAACCTGCCATATAACATGTTATATAGATATTGATTTAGCACAACAGCATAGTTGTATTAAATTATGTGAGCTGTCGTGACAAAATAATTCCGAGTGGTACAAAAAATGAGTTCTTGATATATTTAGATAGCTGATTATTATATAAGCTTTATATTTGGTCTTTGAATCATGTTTTTTGGTTGAGTATAACCAGAGTAAGATCATCTTATAGTTCAGATTTCTGAAAACATACTTTAAGAGAGAATCGCCTCTAAAGATAAACAACTGATTTGTGTTGTTTTTCCTATCAATTCTGAAAAATAGCTTTACAAAATGTGCCTCAAAAACGTGATTACCTTAGGAAACTCAAAACTTTCGTTACGAAGTATACATATTAAACTTATCAGAAAAATTGAAACCCAACTTTCTCAAAATGTTACTTCGGATGTAATTTTCTTGACAACCCACGTATTGACTTACTCTTTTCTCATTACTTTCATCAACTAACCTCTCAACCCACTCTACACCACTTCTGCAACCAAAATTGATCATATTTATACAAATGTATTTAATCCCTACATCTACTCTGGTGTTTTAATTTCGAACTACCAAAAGGAGATAGCTTACTTTTAAACTAAACTTCAAATCAAAATCAATGGAAACCTCAAAATGACACGGAACGTTTCCACGATAGTTTTTAATATTAAAATCCATATAAAAAAAAATTGTGATTCCTTAAATAAATATATCTCCCATATTGGTACTGTGCTGGCTAACTTCGTACCAGATTATAATATTGACCAGATCTCAATTATAAATAAGTTCGACCATGATGATGGGTCCATGATTAAACGATGCAACTTGTGGTGTCTTAGGACCTCTTGTATTATTTTACTTTGTAAATGATTATGCAAGTAACATTTTAAATGTCGTCTCGTTTGCTGATGATACCAATTGCATTACAAACCAGGAGCGGATCCAGAATTTTTCAAACAGGGGATGGGGCACACATATTTTCAGAATAGATAAATGAGTAGCTCGCCTGCAAACCTAGATATAAATACCCTTAAACACTGTTAATAATGAATTAATGAAAGTTACTGATTGGTTCACCTCCAATAAACGTATCAATATACAAAGAAAAATCTTACAAAAGCTTATTTTAATGGAAAACTAATTGAGCGCGAAACTGAAATATTATATCTTTGTGTAGGCCTATATACCGGTATCATTTATAATTTTTTGAGGTGGTAGGAAAATATAATAATAATAATAATAATAATAATAATAATAATAATAATAATAATAATAATAATAATAATAATAATAATAATAATAATAATAATAATAATAATAATAATAATAATAATTTCTTATATATTACTTATTACCCCTGGAGAGTATACCTAGTCGTGCTCCTGGGTAGTGTAGAGACAGACAAAGTAGGGTGCGATCGGGCGAGTTTTTTGTGGAGTTAACACGGGATAAATCCGGAAATAGCTTAGCTCAGTCGGCTAATCTGGTGGTAGCCACTGTGTGTGCGTTTAACCGTGGAGATCTCAAGGTCCCCGGTTCAATTCCCATCGCTGCCTCTCCTTGTGTTCCAGCTGAAATACAAGTTACAATAGCGCACCGTCTTTCGGATGAGACGTTTAAGGCGTTGGGTCCCGTGTGCATTTATGGCCCATGTGCACGTTAAACAACGCAGACACTCTTCGGAAAAGAGTAGGGGATTGTCTCCTGGTGTACTGCCCAATCACCACCGGAAGGACCCCACTGGAAATAAGTCTTCTTCTAGACTTTCGTGGACTATCCTTGGTGTTTACACCGAATAAATCCGATCCAATCCAAACGGCCATTTCCAATTCTATGAGCCCGAACGGGTGTTAAACGAGGACCGCCTGCTGATATCCGCTGATAATCCAACGCTGCAAATTGCATTGCAGTGTTTTTGGGGGAGCAAATGCAGCATGCGTTAGCAGCAGGGAGAATTTTTTTATCACTTAATCCCTTTTGATTGTTTTAACACGCACCATAAGTAAAGTCTGTTTAAATGGTTTAAATGTTCATGGTCCCTGCTTCTTTTACAGTTATTTCCAAAAACAAAACTGAAAATCTCGATGAAATAAATTATTTCAACTGAAGTCTAGCCTTGAATCCAGATTGTACCTTGTTACATACGTCCGTCACATGCATACATGATCCGATACAAGTCCGTTTCCTAATTAAAGCGTGGGGTGACGCAGGTGGGTGACGCAAGGGTCCAAAGCAACTTAATAGACACTCATCATTTGCATAATACCTTAGGTTTTTTTTACGTCCGAGGCTATTGGTTTTTTTTAAAGCCGAGCTCTGCGTTTTAAGCCTATTTTAAACACTGGATTGAAAGCATCCAAAGAACTTTCATTATTTACTTAATTCTGAATTGTAATTGTAATGTAAGAAAGTATAATACATACTCCAAGTATTGAAATACACGCCATTTCGACATTAATTATGTCATCATCAGGAATGAAAAAATTATCCATATTAGCAAGCTTATATGCACTAGTACCAAAAGTGTTCAACCAATCAAAACATTACCTCTAGTAGGTGACATAGCAGTGATTTAAACAAAAGATCAAAGCATTCTTACTCTAATGATCAAAGCTACCTACAAAAACAAAGAAATATACATATATATAAATCATACTTTTATAGGACTTTATTCGTTGAAAAGCTACAGGGTAGCTTACGATGTTCCATCATGTCCTTATTAAACAATGTATATGTACCTTTGATGATTTATATGATATATATATCAAAAGTGTTACTGTGGATGATAATTATGGTGGGGTCGTAGTAAGTATGTATACTTTAATATATTTACTCTTTACAGCATAAAAGAAGAAAAACGAATCCATACTAAAGAAATGGAAGTAAAAGAGGAGGAAATAAATTCATTGAAAGTAGAGACTGCTCAAATGTAAGATAAATAAGTTGAAACTTACTATAACTAAATGCAGTAACAAATGTTATTGTTGGTGTTTTTGATGATGCAGATAATGATGATGTTGGTGGTGATGATAAGATTATTTTACAGTATTTACTCTTACAGAATGGAAAAGGAAAAACAAATCAATATTAAGGAAATGAAAGTAAAAACCGAGGAACTAAACTCACTGATGCTGGAAAATGCTGAAATTAAAAATACGTGAGTCGATACAGATTATAACTAAATACAGTGATAGATATTATTGTTGATTGTTATAATTGTGATATGATGGTGGTAATGATAAATGTGTGTATTCTTGCTATATTTACTCTTTCCAGAATGGAAGAAGAAAAACAAATCCATATTAAAGAAATGAAAGTAAAGACCCAGGAACTAGATTCATTAAAAGTGGTGAATGCTGAAACAAAAAATAAGTGAGTTGAAATTTATTATTTAAATACGCCTAGATGTTATTGCGGTGATAATAATGAGGTGGTGATATATTTCCACAATCTTTACTGTTTACAGCATGGAAAAAGAGAAAAGAATCCATATTCAAGAAATGAAAGTAAAAACCGAGGAACTGGACTCATTGAAGCTGGAGAGTGCTGAAATTAAAAATACGTGAGTTAATATTGATTATAACTAAATACAGTGATGATTATTGATGGTTAGGCCTGTTATTGTGATAATGGTGGTGGTAATGATAAGTGTATGTATTCTAATACTATACTTACTCTTTTCAGGATGAAAGAAGAAAAACAAATCCATATTAAAGAAATGAAAGTAAAGACCCAAGAAATAGATTCATTGAAAGTGGTGAATGATGAAATAAAAAATAAGTGAGTTGAAATTTATTGTTTACTTACGCCTGAATGTTATTGCCTTGATAATAATGACGGTGGTGATATGTTACTATATATTTCTACAATCTTTACTCTTCGCAGCATGGAAGAAGAGAAAAGAATCCATATTCAAGAAATGAAAGTAAAAACCAAGGAACTCGACTCATTGAAGGTGGAAAATGCTGAAATTAAAGATACGTGAGTCATTATTGATTATAACTAAATAACAGTGATAATTATTGATGGTTATTATTGTGATGATGATGGTGATAATGATAAGTTTATGCATACTATACTTACTCTTTTCAGAATGGAAGAAGAAAAACAAATCCATATTCAAGAAATGAAAGTAAAAACCGACGAACTTGACTCACTGAAGCTGGAGAATGCTGAAATTAAAAATACGTGAGTCGATATCGATTATAACTAAATACAATGACGATAATAATAATGATGTGGCCGTGATATATTTTTATTTTACTATCTTTACTATTTACTGTTTACAGACTGGAAAAAGAGAAAAGTATCCATATTCAAGAAATAAAATTAAAAATCGAGGAACTCGACTCATTAAAAGTGGAGAATGCTGAAATTAAAAACAGGTGAAAGGAAATTTGTTATAACTATATACAGAAATAGATGCCATCGTTGAAAATGGTGATAATTATGATGATGTGATAAGTTTATATACTTTCTATATTAATTAGTCTTTACAGAATGGAAGAAGAAAAACAAATCCATATTCAAGAAATAAAAGTAAAAATCCGAGAACTTGATTCATTGAGAGTTGAGAATGCTGAAATTAAAAATAGGTAAGATGTATTGGAGTGATGTTTTGAATACTCACTACGTTTCCAAATACTACTTGTGAAAGAAATCTCGCAAGTGATTCGTGTGGAAATTGAACCAAGGAGTTTACTCATTGATCGAACCCATGACCTCCAGATTACTAACCTGGTCTCATAATTTCTAGACCACTGAATTTTGTGAATTTTCTGGGGCAGAAACAACATCGAAATAGCATTACAGTGGTCATAGTTATGATTGACACTAGGTAGTTATCTGGAGGTCGTAGGTTCGATTACCAACTGAATTACTTGCGAGATTGTTTTCATAAGTATTTGGGAGCTTACTGAGCATTCAGTACGATAAAGCGTCAGGGAGGCCATAATATCACTTCTACGGAATTTCCTGACGCAAACCGACATCATCGAAATAGCATTGCAGTACCCGCTGCTTCTTTGGGATCTTCTAGTGGTTATGACACCAGGCTAGTTATGAGGTCGTGGTTTCGATTCACACCCAAAATAATTGCAAGTTTTGTTGCCAATTATTTGGGACGATGAGGCAGAACCTCACTCATATGGAATTTACTGACGCAAAACAACATCGGACGTAAATGTTGATGATGATAATGATGATAATAGTGATGATAATTATTCTCTCTATATATTTTTATTAACTATTATTATTTACTCTTTACAGATTGAAAGAAGAAAAACAATTCCATATTCAAGAAATCAAAGTAAAGACGGATGAACTCGAGTCATTGAAAGTGGAGAATGTAGAAATTAAAAAAGGGTGAGACGCAATATCATAAATGAATACTATAATAAATGTTTTTATGGATGGTCTTAATGATGATGGTGATGATGATTATGGTATCAGGACAAGTCACAATTTTTAACTGTAATACTGTTTACAGCATGGAAGAAGAAAAAAGAATGCATGTTCAAGAAATGAAAGTACAAGGGCAGGAACTCGACTCACTGAAAGTGGAAATTATTGAAATTAAAAATAGGTGAAGTGAAATTTATTATAGCTTGATATAATAATAAGTGTTATTGTAAATGGTGTTATGATACTAATGACGACTATGATATGTTACTATATTTTTACTATATTTCAATTAACAGCATTAAAGAAGAGAAAAGGATCCACATTCAAGAAATTAAAGTAAAGGCCGAGAAACTGATAATGGAGAATGCTGAAACTGCAAATAGGTAAATCGAAATATATTATAACTGTAATAATAGCCTGATGTTGTTGTTGGTGGTTATAATAATGATGGTGATGATTATATCAATATATTTTGACTATATTTACCTTTACAGCATAGAAGAAGAAATAAAAACAGAGACTGATGAATTGGACTCACTAAAATTGGAAAATACTAAAATAGAAAATAGGTGAGGCGAAATTATGTATTTATAATAATACACAATTTAATTAAAACAAAAAATCAAGCTGAAACTGAAATATAAACGCACGTAAAGGTCATATTATTCTGTGAATGCTGGATTAAATAAGTTTTCTTAAAAACATAAATATCATTTAAAAGAATATTTCAACACCTGTTGGATTAAAAGAGAAACCAAGATTCAGACATAATTAGATTTTCCATTGATAACGTTATCAACTATACCAATTGCATGGTTTTGTTGTTTCATAGTCTGAAGGAAACCAAGTTACAACATTCTGAAGATATGAAGATGGAGAACAGTGAACTATATAAACTCAGAGAAACGATCGGGATATTGAGAAAGAAAAATGAATCAATGTTATATACGTATGTACCATAAAATAATAAAAGTAGAAAAACTTTTTCAATTGATAAAATAAAAGCATTTTTATATTATTAATTATTATACACATTTGATATGCCTTCCTAAATGTTAACAATTCAATTGTGCTTATTGCTGTTGCAATTACCCATTTTATTTGTATTATTCTAATTAATCACATTCTTGTCAATTATTTTTTTAACTTAAAACTTATTTAAGTATAATATACAGGATACAATTTCAGACAAGATGTCATAATCTGTTTCTAAAATTGGTCCTGTTTAAGACGGGTATCATAAAATATATAAATGAATATACTTAGCATGGTCAGCAGTACAAGACATTCTTTAATACTCTTCCTATCAGTACTTTTTTCCATTATTGGGAAGGCAAAAAGCTTAGCCTTAAGAAGGTGCAGAAAAAAAAATTTACAGTAGACTCTGTCATGCATAACTCAATTCTATTAAAATACCATAATTCTTTATTGCAATCTGGACTGTAAAGTGTTTATCCAAATCATCATTTCATTTTTTTTTCAGAATTTCTAAACGTGAACAAATAATTTACAAATATGAAGATAAAATTTTTCATTTTGACAATTGCCTGAGAAGGGGAGATGATGAACGGCATTATGATAAATTGCATAAAAGAAGGTAAGTAAAACATATTCAATATTCAATTTATTCTTGTTCTATTACCATGTCTATCACCCGTTTTGATCACATGGTATTTTTGTTATTTACAAGTTGTGATGGATGTAGAAGAAAATCAAAGGTACTCGCAGCTCTAAGGGACTTGTTGAAGATCAAGAGGAATGTAACTGAAGATACAGGAAAGAAATCACCAACGTTAGTTACTTTTTCCATACCCTAAGATAAAAATAATGAGACATAAACGAACCACTTGTACTTGAAGCAAAATATAAAACAAAATATAATAGTAACTAATAGGCCTGTGAATTATGTTACAGTGTTACTAAAACTGAGAAAAAAGAAGCTGAAATGAACTCATTAGAAAATGTCACCAATCAACCTGAAAGGTAGTGTAATACGCACAAGTTTAATATTCGGTCGTATTTTAAGGTTATCATTACAACGACATATCTGTTTAAAGAAACATTGAGAGCAAGCTAGTGCTTAGTATTCGGATTAAATTGTAAATAAGTCAGAGTATGACCATTGCTATAGTTAGATAGCGTTGTTTATAAGGATAATGAGGATATGATAGGCATATTTCCAGTGGCAGATCCAAGGTGGCAAAATGGAATCTCGCCACCAGGCAGCAGCCACAAGATAAGAGAGATAACAAATTTAAATGGCTCCAAAATCCTGTCATGTTGAACAATCAAACGATAATCAAAGGAATTCTCGTTGTCAATAAGATAAATTGATATTTTTAAAAATGCCTAATTTCCCACAATCTTATTTATTCATGTATTTTATCCTTAAGTTTTTTTAAATGTAACATTTCTTAAAGCTTAAATTTTGTTTTACTGTTGCTTTCTGTGTTTTTATCAAGATTGAAAAACATGTGATATGCAGTTTTTAAATATCTTTTTATTTTTTCACCAAACTTGTTAAATATTGATCTCTCTCTTATTGCTTATTATTTTTATGATCAACAAGTATTTTGTATATTTTTACTGTGTGTGTGTATATATACTTAATATAATATTATGCTGTAACCATTTTGTAACTTAAGTTTAAAGAAAGTTGAATGAACATGGGAATATACCAATATTTTACCCTCTCGACCTAAAGGTTCCGCACCTTCAGACCGTAGGCCCTTGATTTCCATTCACGCCAAAGAATTCTGGATCCCCCACTGATAATATTTATTCTATTTGATGATTATAAGACTCTAAACATGAAGAAGAGGGAGAGAGAGAGAAACTATAATAGAATAATTAGTATAATATAGAAAAATTTGCTTAATGTTTTCTATCTTTGATATATTTAAATTATATTTCAGTGCTAGCTAGCAAATTTAACATAATATATAAGTTTGTATACTAAGCCTAGGCCTATATGTTTTCCGCTGCCAAATTGTGTTCTCTCTTATCTACCTTAACCACATTATAAAGAATATGATTAAGAAATTGTTGATATAACAAACAAAAAAACCGGCAGACAAACTTCCTAAACACAAGTCCTTTAATTTTTTTGAAATAAAAGAGCCATATGGAACTAAATTTCAAGAATATTTTAACAGGCCAACTAAAACAATGGTAAGTGAAAAAATGTGTAAATGTGATGTTATTCTGTAAATGTAGGATTGAATCTGCTTATGTTACAATCATAGTCTTTATACTTTAATGGTATGCCTTTCAGTATGGAGGAAACAAAATTACAAAATTCCGAAGACATGGGGATGGAAAATGAACTTTATAACCTGAGAGAAACGATCAAAATATTGAGGAAGAAAAATGAATCACTGTTAAATGCGTAAGTACAATCAATCATAATAGTCTTGATATTAGTAAATTTCCCAAACATTTGAAAAGCAAAATCTGAGGCTTAAAAATGTGCAGCAAAGAGCATGTTTAGGCCTATCAAATTAAAATTTTATATTTCTTTTCAGAATTTCTAAACGGGAACAAATGATTGACAAATATGAAGTTAAAATATTTAATATTGACAATTGCCTGAGACGGGGAGATGAAGAACGGCAGTTCGATAAGGTGTATAAAAGAAAGTAAGTAAAACAGTTTTATCCATTATTGAAGTTCTATTGTCATGTCTATGATCATTCGTTTTAATCAGATAGTATTTTGGTTGTTATTTACAAGGTGTGGTGCATGCAGAAAAAAATCAAAGGTGCTCGAAGCTCTAAGGGACTTGCTGAAGATCGAGAAGAATGTAACAGATGATAAAGGAACGAAATCACCAGGGTTGGTTACTTCATTTATACATATACTGTACATGTAAAATAATGAAACATTTAACGAACCGACTGTAAATTACAAAAGAAAAATAGAATAATTGCGACAATATATAAAAATATAATTAATACCATAATAGTTGTGGTCTTAGTTATGACGAGGACTACGAAGTTGAAATTAACTCAAAACTACCTGCATTACCGATAAAATTAGAAGAGGACACCAATGAACCTGAAAGGTAATACATATTTATATTTAATCGTATGTATATAATTAGGAAGAAATAATTATGCTTTCAAAAACATGGAGCATAACTTTACCATTAAGCTAGAGCTTAAAACGGATTTATGGGTAAAATCAGTGTTTACCATATAGGGGCGTTGCTGATGGTGGTGACGTGCTGACAGCGACGATGAAGATGTTAATGATGTCTATAATTCTTCTTTATGATGATAAATTAAGAAATAAATACATAGGGCTAGGTCACCATGTCTGTATTTGTTCTTTATTATTATGAGAAATTCCGTCATTTAGGTCTAATAGTATCACTGTAATTTAGGTTTAATAGTATCACCTTACTTATACTTTAAACATAAGAAGAGGAAAGAAATCGATAATAGAATTATGAATATAAATATTTGCATACTCTTTCTATTATTCAACTATTAATCACAGTGCTAGGCAGCACATTTTATTTACCATGTTTGCTTACTAGGTTTAAATACCTATGTGACTAGCTAGAGTTCTGGCTGGCCTACTATATCTACGCCATGTAGAATATAATTAAAATACAACCAATTATTAGTATAACCGTCAAAATTCTTGCTGATAAACTATCTTTTAAAATCTTATCAAATAAAGACACATATGACTTTCAAATTCAGGGATATCTTAAGGCAATTAAAACACAAAACTCAAATGAAAAAAAGCATATGAAGTCATATTTTTCTGTTCAGTGTTTTCCAACAAAAATTATAGATATCGTTAAAAATAACATTTCTAAAACCTGATGGAGGAATTAGGAAACCAAGTTTCGGACATAGGCCTAATTAAATTTTCCATTGAAAATGTTATCAACTCTTGTTGTTTCATAGCCTAGAGAAAACCAAGTTACAACATTCTGTAAATATGGAGATCGAGAACAATGAGTTATATAAACTAAGAGAAACGATCGAGATATGGAGAAAGAAAAACGAATCAATTTTAACTGCGTGAGTACTATCAAATAATAACAGTAAAAGAAAGTTTTTTTTTAAATTTTTTACTGATTATTATAATGTAATTGATAAAATATAAACAATGATAAATTATTAATTATTATACAGATTTGATAGGCCTTATCCTAGATGTTAAAATTCAATTGCTTATTGCTGTTAAAATTACCATTTGTATTATAATAATAAAATTACTGTACTGTCATTTTATAATACTTTTGCTATCCCAAATATTGGGAAGGCAAAAGAATGTGAAGCAAGGAACATTTTTAATTTACAGGAGTCATGCATACAGTAACTTCCGCTACCAATCAATATTGCAATCTGGACTTCGACCGTCAAGAGTTTACCCAAATCATAATTTCGTATTTCTTTTCAGAATTTCTAAACGTGAACAAATAATTTACAAATATGAGGGTAAAATTTCTAATATTGAAGATTGTCTGAGAAAGGCAGATGATGAACGGCATTTCGGCAAGATATCTAAAAGAAAGTAAGTGTTTCAATCGCTTAATAATCCTTTGTTGTCTAGGTGTATAGTCACTGGATTTTTGGTTCACCTGATGTTTTGTTGTTATTTACAAGGTGTGGTGCATGCAGAAGAAAAGCAAAGGTACTCGCAGCTCTAAGGGACTTGTTGAAAATCAAGAAGAATGTAACTGAAGAAACAGGAAAGAAATCACCAAGGTTAATTACTTTGTCTAAGTCAAAATATTACCATCTCCATAATATATAGGCGTTGTTGTACTTATGATGGTGGTGATGAACGAGGGCGAACATTGAGGATGATGATATGCCCATGTGTCCCCATGCAGCACCAAACAAATACTAAGTGTGAAATTAATTAGATAAGAGATTAAATATTAAAATGGCTAAAAATTCAAAGTTTAGGGGAGATATCCCCCTGTATCTCCACAATAGTTATGAAAATACCCAAAAACCATCGACTATAGATTCCACTCCCTCGCGCCACTTCTACAAAATTCTGGATCCGCCAATATATATATATTCATTTGTTCTTGTGTTACGATTATAATTCCATCTCTTATGTCTAATATTATCACTATACTTCTTATTCTAAGGGGGTAGTGCCAGGATTTTCCCGACCCAGAGACAGATATGTCCCAACCGGGGGGGGGGGGGAGGGGAAGCGATGGTAGTAGTCCAGCCCAAAATGAAGATTTAGGGGTTTTTAGATTCTACTAATTAAAGCGACTTCGCATTGTTGTTGATCGTTACGTCGGTCAAAAGTTCTACTTCGGAAATTTGGGCTCCCAACATGGCGTCCAGTGACTTCATTAAAACCAATGATCAATCAAACTATATAGCTTTATGCTCCAAACTTTCATGAACATTGTAATAGTATCAAATTTTGTTTTTCGATATTTGTAATAATAATAATAATAATTTTAATAGTATAATAATTTTAATACTACACACATTATTAACACTTGTAATAGTGAGGATATTAAAAACTCTATTATCTTTGAGACATGGTGTTATTTGACCGCCCAAAATTTTCGGCCGTCTAGAAAACAAAAAATTCCCACTAGGGTACTGTTGTCGCTCGATCGACCCCACTTTCGGAGAAATCCCCCCACCCCAACCACCGTCGAATTTGAGTATCATTTTCTTTTTATCTCCATTTTTTAAATTTGATATATTTAGGTGGGGGGGGTGCCCTATAATCTGTCGCTGGATATAATATTATACAACATAATGTCTACAGTCGATGTCAGAGACACATTATCTATGAATCAATAAAGTTCTTTTGGGTTAAAGTGGTAGATCGAGGACCATATGAGTAGTACGGCCCTTTGGTGTCCCTAGGGGTCGGAACCCTGTCGACCAGAGAAGAGAACACTGCTGTGACTGATCCAAGTAGCCACTGTGATCGAGGTAATAGACATAATATCGCCTTGTCCTTTTCTGTGTAGACTGAAAGTCGGGTTTAGTTAGTGTTTTAAAAATAATCCGACACCACCCATCGCTCCATCTCTTACGTACAAGCAATTCTGTCTCTGGATATACGATCTGTGGGAAGGCAGGAACATATCTACTCTTGATTATTCTAAGAAAATCTATATTGCTGTATTCTCCTTAAGTCTAAATATGGCGCAATGTCATCAGTCTACGTCCACTCCAGGGGTAAATCCAATGGGGGTAGGGGTCGTATTACCACTACATTTTAAAATGTCACTATATGTATTGAAACAGGACAAACTAGGAAGCAAATACGTTCCCCTACCCCCCCCCCCCCGGTTGAAAAATTCCGGGTTGAAAAATAATACCCAAATTCTTACTCTTCCCATCATCATTGTCATGTGACAAAAGCAATGCAGTTTTAAAATCCTAAGGCAGGATTAAGTTAGGTCCAGGATGTTGTAACTTTTAAGCATAGCTTTTGATGAGTTTGGTTATGTTGTGCTTAAAGTATTATGGCATGTTTTGTTTGTTCCAATATATCTGCACCCCCGGTCTTCCACCTTCACTGATTAGTCCAACGGTTAGTCTAGGAAGTAGGCTAGCGTTAACACCTTTCCACCTGTCTATATCGGCTATCTTTCCCATTTTCTGAGACTAAATGATGTAAATGATGCCCACTTTAGCCATTAGAATAATTATGATTAAGATATTGTTAACAAAAACATAAGATATACTTGCTGAACACTTGAAATTCCTTTAAAATATTTTGATTAAAGAGCCACATAAAACTCAATTTCTGGAATGTTTAAGTTAATTAAACAAAACAAAAATTAGGTAAAGAAGCATGTGAATATGATATTATTATGTAAACGTTGAATATAATCAGCTTACATTACGGTCATAGATATCGCTAAAATAAAATGTCTTTTTAATTTGATGGACTAGTAGCAAAACCAATTCATTAGGCCTAGTTAGATTTCGGATTGAAAATATTATAAACTATACCAATTTTATAGTATTGCATTTTTTTTATAGTCTGGATGAAATCAAATTACAACATTCTGAAAATATGGGGATGGAGAACAATAAAGTACATAAACTGAGAGAAACGATCGAGATATTAAGAAGGAAAAACGAATCACTGTTAACTGCGTGAGTACTATCAAATCATAACATTAGAAGAAAGTTCTGAACGATTTAATTGATTATTATATTGGAACTGATAAAATCAAAATACGATAAAGCATTAATCAAATTTATACACATCTGATATGTCATATCTTTGTTAAAACCACAAATTAGTCTTGTTCTACTATACTAATTAATATTTTATTATACTATTAAATAATATTGTATGTTTTTTTCTTTTATATACTGTTTTTGAAAGGCAAAACTTAGGATTAAAGGTGACAACAAATTAAATGTTTACCAAAATCATAATTTCATGTTTCTTTTCAGAATTTCTAAACGTGAACAATTAATTTACAAATATGAAGATACAATATTTAATTTTGACAATTGTCTGAGAAGGGGAGATGATGAACGGCATTTTGATAAGGTGTATAAAAGAAAGTAAGTAAAACAATTTCAATCCCTTATGATCTTCTATTGCCTAGAGTCTATGATACTCACTTTGTTCACATGATATTATGTTATTATTTACAAGTTGTGGTGCATGCAGAATTAAAGCAAATGTACTCGGAGCTCTAAGGGACTTGATGAAGATTAAGAAGAATGTAACTGAAGATGAAGAAAAGAAGTCACCAAGGTAGCTACTTTTTCCATACCAAAGGAAAAAAAGTACAAAAACAATTACAACAAATCAATCTAGCTTTCTTAATGAACATAATCAGCTATTGTTTTGTATTTCCTTTAATTCAATACCGTTTTATACAAAATAAGTTTTAAAAACCTAATTAAAGATAATGAACGGACCGAATGCTATTAAAAATTGAATTAGGATAATTGTAATAATATTTTTTTTTAATTAATAGCATACCTTAATCAATCTTTGCCAGTGTTACTGATAACAAGTTTAATGAACCTGAAATAAAATCTGTTACAGATTTTTATTATTATAAGGAATTTTTTTTTTGTACGGAAACATTGATCATTGACATTGCAAAAGCTAGCATTTGGATATAAATTAAACTTGTTGTTTATTACATCTGTAGATTTGATATTGTAGCGTCTGATGAAAATGCTGAAGGAGATGCAGTCAATTTGTCCTGGAAGAAGGAGGAGGACGATAAAAATGCAGAGGACATAGGAAGTAACGAGGAACAGGATGATGAGAAAAAGGAAGATGATCAGAAGAGATGGAGCAGGATTAAAGGTCGTGAAGTGGAGAATGATAAAGAGGATCAGAAAAGGAGCTGCTGTAGAATTAGAAGTCGGGAAGAGGAGATATCTGATAAGGAGGATCAGTACAAGGGGAGCCTCTGTAGGAATATGAGGAGTTTTGAAAATAAGAAAAATGATGAAGTGGAGGATCAGAAGAGGAGGAGCAATTGTAGGATTGGGAAGATTTGGGAAGAGGAAAATGATGAGCAGGATCAGAAGAGAAGCATTCATCGCTTAAGAAGTAGCTGGGAAGAAGAGAAAAATGATGTGGAGGAAGATCGAAAGAAGGGCTGCTGCTGTGGGATTATAAGGTTTCGAGAAGAGAGGAGTCGGAAACAAAAGAATTATGATGAAGAGGAAGATCACCAGAAGAAGAGAACCGACTGTAGGATTAGAAGTCTGAAAGAGGAGGAAACTTATGTGGAGGATCAGAAATGTAGAAGAAGCTGTAAGAATTGGAGGAGTTGGGAAGAGGAGAATAATGAGGAGGATCAGAAGAGAAGAAGCATCTGTAGAATAAGGGGTCGGGAAGAAGAGAAAAATGTTGATGAGGAAGATCAAAAGAGGGACGTCTGCTATAAGATTATGAGAATTCGAGAAGAATTTTATTACAATACTATTGAATAATTAATTTATAAAATATAAAATATTTAATAAAATTATCTTGTGTAATCAAATTATTATTATTTCTACATTTATTCGGTTTCAAGCAATGATTTATATTGTATGCTGTATGATCAAATGACAAAAAGCAATTAATGAATGTTTTGATTAATAAATATATTCCATTTATCACAATAATCAGGTACTCTTGGTTGTTCATATCATATGTGTAACGACGGTGATCCTTTCAGTGTCTACAGTTTCTCACACTGTGTTGACGTCCAGAAGTACAAATCAACTTTTCATAACATAGAATAGGAAGTCTTTTCTAGGTAGGAACCAATTTCAACATGAACCCTGTGTGGACAGAGTTCTTCTTATTGTGTCTACAGAAACCTTCGACGTTTGCTTAGGTCTATGAGGGCAGGCTCTATAAAGGGCCCGCTCTGGTCTAGTTTAGGTATGATGAGAATGGTGATACAACTTATATACCTGGTAGTGGTGGTGCTAGTGGTAGATTTGGACTGCGACGAGGACGATTTTTTTTGTCAACCTTTTGAGGACAAACAATAGCGAAGGTCTGAGTTTATGCCTCCTGTGTTAGTGTACTAGTAGTAGCTCTATTAATATAAAGATGCTAAAAAATAATCGGAAGTACCTTAATATTTTATTAAATATTTAAATATCTCATGTAAAAAGATCGAATGATTTAACAACTTCAAACCGCACAGAGAAAAATACTTTTCAGACGTTCAAATCCTTAAATGAAATACTGGCCAATATAAAGGGTCTACTTTCAAGTAAAAGAAAACAGCAAAGCTATTATTTAACTGTCCGATAATTGAGGAAAGTTTGCTCACAATGAAAGGTTAAATTGTAACAAATAATAGCAGCTTAGCCCAGTCGGCTAACCTGGTGGTAGCCACTGTGTGTGCGCTGAACCGTGGGATCCCTAGGTCCCCGGTTCAATTCCCATCGCTGCCTCTCCTTGTGTTTCAGCTAGAGGGCTGAAATACAAGTTAGAATAGCGCACCATCTTTCGGATGAGACGTTTAAGCCGTTGGTCCCGTGTACATTTATGGCCCATGTGCACGTTAAAGAACGCAGTACACACTTTGGAAAAGAGTAGGGGATTGTCTCCCGGTGTACTGCCCAATCACCACCAGAAGGACCCCACTGGAAATAAGTCTTCTTCTACACTTTCGTGGGCTATCCTTGGTGTTTACACCAAATAAATCCAATCCAATAAATTCTTTCACATCTTTCAATCCTAAGAAAGTAACGGATGCTATCCACAGCTTACCCTAGAGGCATGTATTGACGATGTCCAATCATAGCTGTCCATCAATAATAATAACAATAATAATAATAATAATAATAATAATAATAATAATAATAATAATAATAATAATAATAATAATAATAATAATAATACTTTATTTAAACACGGAGACACTTGAATCCCCCATGGGTGTTTTTCATCAAGGCCGTGCAAGGCCATACATAATTAGAAAAGAAAAAATTATTGAAAACAAAATGAGTTAAAGAAAACAACAAAAACATAATATCTCAACTAACATTGAAACTATCCCCCACCGGACACCAACCCGGAATTTCTATGTTTCGGGGATATATGTTTTGTTGTAACGCCAATAAGACCGAGGTGTTATATAAAAGCGTAAACGTCGTACCAACCTGCCCATCATTAATACTATTCGTGTGGGTGATACTTTTATCAGTCGATCTACAGAGGTAGGCCTAATGCATATTGGCGTTACTTTCGACTCCACGATGTTCGTGAAGCAGCACATTAACAAAATGTGTTGAACCTTTCAACTTTGAAACATCAAACAAACGAAGATGCTGCTTCTAAACTCGTGGCACCTTAGTAATATCCAGATTGGAATATTGTAATTGTGTTCTCTATAGTTCAGGGACCGGAAACTGAAAAGGTACACCCTCTGCTTTATACCTGTCATCATTTTTTTTAGTTAACTTTATGTCTAAGCTTCAAGAAATGCCTTGTTAGCCAAGCGATTTCTTGTTGCCAGTGCCTGTAAACCGACATCAAAGATAGGTACATGTATTTGTACAGCGTTAAAATTTGGTTGATTGATATGGGCTGGGGTTAACGTTATATAACCACAACTTTTTACCAACTGAATATATTTTCTTGGTTTTAGTATCAAAGTGTAGAATAATAAATTTCATATCATTTGGCATAAAATGACAATGGAATTACATCGTTAATTATGTCACATGAGGTCAAAATTTTATCAACCAAAGAACGACATCGAATTTCACCTAAAATATATATTAAAACTTGTGATAATAGTTTTTTATCACGTTAAAATTGAATTAACATGGATAAAAGTTAGCTGAAGTAAATTGTTTACTAAAATACATGTATAGATATTTTTGTAACATCTTAGCTCCAGTCACTGTTAAGTTATGGCTCCGAAAAGCTCTTAATAGCTTTAAATAGGAGTTATGATGCTGATAATTGGTATGTACCCTAGAGGTGGCTGTTCTATTACAGTGGAACCCCTATTAAGAGGACTCCTTCGGGACCAAAAAAGTGTCTCCTTAATAGGGGTGTCCTCTGAATAGGGGTACCCCTATTAAGGGGACACAAACAACGTGAAATTGTCCCCTTAATAGGGGTTTTTGGCATGTTTTCATATAGCGATGACATACAATTCTTCATGATTTTATTTTTATTCACATAATTAGTTACAGTAGAATTTATAGCAATAATTTTCAAGGCAAATACAATTTATCTATAATATGAAATCAGCAGAAATGTAATTAAAACAACATTAGTTTTATATGTTCCCAATATTGTTTCATGGTGCAATGTTAATGAATGAACTAGAATCCTAAAAATGTACACGAAAAACGAAAAAAAAAAAAAAAAGAGAAAATTGACAAGATTGGTTTATACGAAGTACCGTAACACTTGCAGTATGCCTTACCGATATTCAAGTTTTTATTAGGGAGAAAATTCTGGTTTATTGCTCAAATTTAAAATTTCAATTGTCAATTTCAATCTATTCAAAAAAACCTCAGTAAAGCAAGCCTACAATAACTTTAAAACAGTAGACCAATTTCATTAAAAAGGATAAGTTATTCATACATATACCAGAATAATTAAAATAAAAACCAAGAAAAAAATTGAACAAATTCTCCAAAAATACAAAATTCAATCAAATCATAAATGGAGAGAACAGAACACCACACCACTTAAACAGATACAAGCAAAATAACAAACCACGAACATACTTACAAACAAAGACGGATTATTTTACTTGGATAAGTTATTCATACATATACCAGAATAATTAAAAACCAAGAAAAAAATTGAACAAATTCTCCAAAAATACAAAATTCAATCAAATCAATAAGTGGAGAGAACAGAACACCACACCACTTAAACAGATACAAGCAAAATAACAAACCACAAACATACTTAAACACACCAAACTATTACCAAACAAAAACGGATTATTTTACTTGGTCTCAAAATTTTTTTTTGCAATTTCAGTTAAAATATTATGATTATAATTATTATTATTATTATTATTATTATTATTATTATTATTATTATTATTATTATTATTATTATTATTATTATTATTATTATTATTATT